GAATCAGCTAACCTGCTTGTAGAGGGATTTTGATTAATGTAAGATCTTCCAAGCCATGCCGCACAAGCAACGCGGTCTATGCAGCAAGTGTAGCAACAATCAACCGCGTCGCTCCAACAAGAATCTCCCTCACGTCGTGTTGGCGACTTACCGGTATCCCCGCCAGACTCTTTGCAGATCAAGTATGGCTCTCGGCTGCAAGAAAACCTTCACCGCCCAATCGAGGATCCTGTGGCGAAGAAAACGATAAAATACATGTTGAAACCGTTGATGTCCGTTGACAACGACATACTTGGTTGGCCTCCTTTGTGGAAAAGTTCAACACATTGAGCCGGTACCGAACAATGTGGAAACGGAGGACGCCTTTTTCACACAGGTACTACCTTTTGTCGCCCGTGGTGTGCCAAGTCCTGCGAGCGGAGGTTTTTCAAGTCCGACCAAGTGGAAGGACATGGTGTACGGTCTACTGCAGGACAAAAAACATGGGGTCAACATTTAGGGATATGGTACCGGTCAGAGAGAGAGAGAGAGAGAGAGAGAGAGAGAGAGAGAGAGACCACGGTACGAGTCTGTGGATGTGGCCCAGCACGAGATAGAGGGAAACACGGTCGAAATCGAATCAGGTCAGAAAAATCGAAAGGAAACATGGTGACGTGTGCGGGACATGGTACGAGTCAAATGAGATACGACACGGTTCGACTGCCGCGCAGTCCCTTTGACGGTCACCGTCATCCGGATCATAGCTCTCGAACAACGCCCTTCGAAGCAAATTTCCTAACTTCCGTGGGCGTGCCGCAGTTTTCAGTTTCACTGGGAAAGGACGTTGGCACCTTAAACCGGAAATGCTTGGATTGCCTCCTTACGTGGAAATCCAAGGGGCTTAATGCGCAACGCCCACCAGTTGGTACCAACACTCAGTGCCCTTGCCTACGGGCATATAGCGTGGCTATCCCAGCTTTCTCGCAATGAAGTCTCTCAACGATTTCGGCTTACGGACACCCCCTGCGACAACTCTGCCCAAGAACATGTCCGTAGCGTATCTACAGCATGTGGCATCGGACGGTTCGTGTTGGCATGACGGCTGACTATCTTCGGCATCGTGACGTCTCACCTTTTCCCTTCCTCTCTGCACGCCTCCTTGTACCTCTTCCTCGCGTCGGCCTCCCGCCGCCTTCGCTGGAGGCGCAGCTGCTCTCCCGTCTTCAGAGCCTCGAGGGCGATCGATCGCCGTCGGGCAATCACTCGGCGCGCCCGCTTTATCCGGAATATCCCTTGAATTCGCCTGTTGTTCAAAGGGTTTGCTGGTTGTATCACGGAGGATCGGTACGATTGATTGGTCTGTCTGCCACAACAAAGTTACTTCGGCCTCTTTGCAACTGCACGTGCGCGTGTCCAAGCGTTTCTGGACGTTTTTGCGGACAAAAACAACCACGAAGCTTGTAGACCTACCTGGCCGCCCGGAAGACCACGGTGTCCGCAAGACGAGAGCCTTCAACTACACCACACCGCACGCCCCGCACGCCTCGCACTATCATTCGGACGTGTCGCCAGAGAAGAACACTTCTACGGGGTCCCTCCTCGCAATAGCTGGTCTCGGTCAAGCTTAGGGAAGTCAAGTCAGAAGACGCCTGCAGCACAGAGGTGGAGCCGCCAACGAGCGTATATTCATGGACGGCACGTGATGATAATGTTGTTGTTGTTGTTGTTACCACCATTGTCGCTGCTGCTGTTGCGGTTGCTTGTCAGTAATCTCATTCCGGTCCGAACCTTACAGGGACGCAGAAGGTTTGAGTCCCAACCACGGCTAACTTCCACCAACTACAGTAGCCAGAGTGCCTCTCACAGCGTAGTCCTTCGCCGAGGGTGCGCATATTCTTCGTAAGAATGACCGGTGGAAGGCAAAAACATTCAATAGGTACATCAGAGGCCACTGGTTGACGTTGCTGAACGGCAGATTCTCATTGGGCCCAAACAAGTTCGGCTACACCGTTTCGAGCAAGGAAGAACGACTGCATCAAGCCTGACGACCATAGCATATCGGAGCCGAGGTATGACATCAAAGGTCGAAAGGACATATTTTTTGCATTAGGAGAGATGCAGTAAAAATCCAATCCCTTCTCGCCGCTCACGTTTCGGAACTGTTCGTCCCGACGCTGGTATTGAGGCAAGTGCCAGGCAACCCATCCTCTCGGTTCTCTGAATGAACCACTCGGGTTAAAGGGACCAAACACAGAAATACCCCAAGGAGTACTCACGTCTAAGGCGCCCTCATCCAGCAGCAGGCTCGAAGCTCCCAGAGACTTGAATATATTCTTGCCTGCAGACGATAACACCCTCAGTCCACCGGACAGAAAAGACGTGCCGCTTCGTTGACTGTTTTGGCTCTGCATGTGAACAACGGCCGGACAGGAGCATAGCTTTAATGTCAAGGTTTCGGAGGCTTCAAACGCGCCACGAGAAGTCTCTAGATCTCGTTTGATCGATCGATCCGATTCCTAGGGAAAAGAGAAGGAAAACAAATACACCACGGAAATCATAGGCAATCCGTCCTTTAACGCTCACGAATTTCCGCACAGACGCCAATGTGTTTGCTTGTGGAAAGCAGCCCATCGGCGCGTTATGCTCCCACCTCACGATGAGTTTCTGCGCGAGCTCTAGCAACAAGAGAGGGGATAGGAAACAACGCAGTGTTCAGAGGTTTCCCTGATTCCTCTTGATCGGGAGAATTTTTACCGCAACAAGTGGAACACTGCGCTTGGTCACGCGCACCGCATGCACTCCTGCAGATTCTCTTGAAGTGAACATTCCATCAAGATTCTATCACACCCCCACCGCTTCCAGTACCTGGTCACCCCCCCCTCCTTTGTCACCACCCCTTTGCCTGCCCCACCCTAGGGATCGCGCTGAGGACATCATTCCTCTAAGACCACCAGTGTTCTTTTCCTCTCGCGGCAACTTCGCCACAGGTGTCTTGCCCCGGTCTTTCGTCTGCATCATGTGCGGGCAAACGCCGCCGAGAGGCCACGGTTCGAACAGCAACGTTCAGGTAAGAAGAAGAAATGGTGGAATCATCCCAAAGGAATCACCACTTACGCGAAGGCCCTGTGGGGACTGGTATGTGTCGGACTGTAGTACACTTGTTCACAGTGTACCCCGTACTTTCCCTTTCGGCCCCGTTAGGATTTCACCCGTGTGGCAGGAGAGAGGGAGTGAACCCGTGCTGCGAAAGACTTCCAAGAGCTCGCGTCCTCTTTTCACCAAATTTTGCAAAGAGCAGAGGTGGCGTTGAGTACTACTACACGGCGTAAGACTTCTTCGTCCTCGTCCCTGCACCCTAACGTACTCTTACTTGTTTCCTCGGTGGCGAGTGTTGTCCTCTGCTGTTATTTTCGCGGCTTTCTCGGTAGATCGTGAAAACGTCACTTGTAGAACCGTCATCATCATCACATGCCGCAATCTGAGGTATATTTTGACAAGCAGGCATTGGTACTATTGTAGGAGCGCAGCAATGCAGCGCAACCACACTCGGAACGGCATGTTGGTGTTGGTTGTAGATACAACGCAACTTGAAGACCCTGGGCCGTATTCAAGAATGAAGATTCCTACAGTAACGTGGATCATTTTATTCCACGCGGGTGCTTGTACGGCAGAACAGCTCCATCCACCGGTTGGTTCTGTCGATCTGATAGTTGGTATGGATAGGTTGCCTGGCAGAAAGGTTTCTCTTCTCGACCACTCAATCAGCGTCACCTGAGCAACGGGTGGCGCTTTGTCAACCCGGACAGAACTCCTTTGCAAGGAGTGCGTATTCAATACGGGGTTGCGTATGGTGTCGTTGCTTGTTGAATCGTGTCTGGGGTACCGTGGAGTACAGGCGGCAAATCATTATTGTTTCGCAGATTAATTGAAAGAAAGCAATGGGAAAGAAACATTTGTGACCCAAAGAATGCTGTGCACAATCCCTGCCGAGAACACTGACGGCAACATTCTTGCACGCCTTGTTCAGTATACGCCGTCAGCCTATCTATCGTGTCTCTCAAGCGCTGGGGGCAAAGTGTGCGGGAAGAATCAACCTTGATGCTGGGGGTTTCAACAGCCTCGAATCCCACCTGTGCTTCGATGGCACCCACTCCGCAGCAGCGTATGCTGTCAGGAAGGTGCAGTGTATCGGCCAAAGTGCCGAAAGTCAACGACACTCCCCTCAAGGTTTTTCTCGCAAACTTGTCCATAGTCTCGACCGAGCGTGGAGCGTCCGGTGCCGCCAAAACGTTGGCAAACGATGTACCTGCAACGGTCAAGGTAAGAAGCGTGCCCGCAGTGGAGAGAACCATACACGCGGTAGAGTAAGTTTAGAGAGGTCAGGGCCTGCTTTCTTTGCCAATGCCAAGCTATTAGTAGCATAAGGAATTTGACCTCGCGGCCGCCCTACTCAGACAGTCCAGAGATAATGGGAGCGTTCCTTGAAGTCCGCGAAGATTTCTGCGAATTCTGATGGAGAACGGAGGCTTTATGAGTGTGGTATCGTCCGTACAACGAAGAACTGGTCATATTCCGATAAAAAACGCTTTAAAAAATTGAAGTTCATCCTAGTGTTTAGTGCGGCCACCACCTGTCGAGCGTGTCTTCGTCAGATGCACAGCAAGCGGCCGTATCTGGCCGCCGGCCGCCGCATGCAAAGTGGCCACCAAGTGAACGGATTCACGTGACACTTGAAAGGGCAAACTTACCTTGAGTATCTGGACTTTATCATGCCCACGCGTCGCGCCAATTTCTGCAAAATGGACAATACATGAACGCCCCGTCGCTCGTTCCACAGAAAATGCACGTCAGACATCATACTTCATGCGTCGGATCTACATACACCGAGGTCGGGCCAGAAGTCGGATCTGTCGCGCTCTGAAACCGCCAATAAACATGCGCCTTCTCAAAATTCGGGGATATATTGTTTTCGTCCCCTCCCCCCTCCTTCGCGGGTCCCGCCCGTGCTGCTGTATGTCACGCTCCTACCACGCATAGTTGCATCTCTCTGCTGGTCTTCTGTCTCTCCCTCCTTTGGCGGCATACATTCGAGCAAACGGCGAACAAGCACAGGTATGGTCGGTTCTGTGTCTGTGATTATTCATCGTGGTAGGTGCTTCGCGAATCTCTCGCCCAACCTGCTACATAGCAGCAGCAAACATGATCATGAGGGGGGAGACCCGCTATCTGCTATAGCACGCACGGGATGACGCTGCCGCCGGAGAAGTATGGCATTCTACAGTTGGTGGTTGAACAGGACTGGTAGCTCTGTTGGAGACGAAGTATGTCCTTGTTGCAGTGAAGCGACTCGCATGAAACATTCGACCCACTTTTCATGCACCCTGCGTGCACTCCATGACGCTTACGCGTGTTTTGCCTCGGGTGCTGCGCGGCGGCACACGGCAGGCGTAAACAGGCAGCGCACAAGGATGCCGGGCAACAAGAAGAAGAACAAGGGCGCCAACAAGGCCAAGAACGCACCTGCTAGGAGCAATGCTGCTAACAAGGATGACCTGGCCGGGCTTGACGAGATCTTGAGGTGAGGCCAGGCTCGACGAGCGGAGGCAAACACGCAAACCATCACGCCCCGAGCTACGAAACCAAGAGCAGCATTCAACACAACTGCAGTAGCGGTCGCACCCACCGAGTTTCCCCGATACACATATGACACTCTCCACATGTGCCACGGTTCACTCTTTTCGCATGATGCCGAGGGAATGATATGAAGGCATTGGCTAGATGCCGCCGTTAGTGCAGGCGGCTCGCGCGCTCGAACCATAGGCTCGTTGGTAAGCAGTGGGATTGGTCTGCACCTCCTGGATGTGTGCAATGTGCAGACACAACCGGCTCGTGCAGGCTTGGTCACATTCATACACATTTCCATTGGGGTAGTGACTACTCCGGTCTCCTACAGTAGTGGCCGAGGGGATGCCCCTTTCTAAAAGTACTCTCCTATACTCCAATGGCGGAATTAACGTCTCTGTAGCTCTGCTTGTAGCATGCACTTCTGTGTACCAGTTCTTTGTAGCACACTGCTGTTGTGGGTGCGTCCATCCCTTGGTTGAAGTCTGTGCTCCGGCTGTGGTGAACGTGCAGACCCAATCAAGGTTGACTGCTTGGCTTATATCGGTTTTGTTCTTGTCATACAAATGTATCTCATGCTTGGCTGAGCATTAAGCAGCATGGCGTTCTGCGATTACCATGGGCTACTGTAGAACAAACTAAATACACACCTTCGGCCATGTAAGTACAGTAGTACACTGCTGTCGGGTTCTCAGCAGTACTACACAGCTAGAAAGCAGTGTGTACTGGGGAGCACCACCACCAGAAGGGGCCATGCCGGCGGCTCCGTACACCAGGCGTTGCGGCAGCATACCAGGACACAGCAGTACATTCTACCTGTTCGTTACGTGAAAGGCATCAAGTTCCAATCCTGTGCCAAAACATGCATTCTCAATCCGCTTTGTAAGTGCCTGCCCCCGTAGGTTAATTGACGGACAGCTTTCTTTTGGGCAGGCCTCTTTCAATCGCAACCCTTACCGCTCGTCTTTGGTGTGCTGTTGTCCAGGCGGCTCCGCACTCAAAGTGTCACCGTTCAAACCCCGTGGCGTCCCTGGTGGTGCTTTGTAAGCTTCGACCGCTCCCAAAACCATGATCCCTCAGCGTTTTATGTAGATCAATCACTACCTAGGTGTGGAGCGCCAAATGCTTGTTTCATTCACTTGAGGCCCTCCTGTCAGCTGCTCGCAATTTCTCAGCGAGGGTCATGACGGAGGCGAGATCGAACGGTCCACAGTTCCTTTTTGAACACATGCGATACGAGGCGCGTCCTGTCCAAAACGATTACATCGCTGTTGAGTTGGGGAGAGGAGGGTGGGCATCGTCACCGCCTCTCACAGCATCCACAACTCATGATTTGTGTATTTCACCTCTCTCCGTGTTATCTCCGAGAGCATCTGAGAGCATGGGATGATGAACCGGGCGGCAGCAGTGGACACCGAGAAATGTGGAAGCATTTTCAGACTTGAAGCTGGCAGGCAGACTTGAAGCTGGCTGGCAGCTTCTACGTTTTAGGAACTGATTTCGACCGCTGAATCCCTGACTCCGCTTCGCGCCACGTCTTCTTATGCCATTTGTGTAGGCCGGGTGGATGAACTCGCTTGAAGCATAGTTGTCGGCGGTCCGCAGGAAGTATAGCAACCTACGAAACTCACGTGCATAGAGGCAACGATTGAAGGCGACAGATTAACTGGTTTGCCGTCATTGGAGGCGGTTAGGTGTTGGGTCGAAACGACCGGCACAAAAACATCACGGCGTTTTCATCGTTTTCGCCAAGCGGACCGCTCCGGTTGAAGCTATTATACCTGCTGCCTGCAAGAGCGACGTAGCTTCCTGCTCACACCCCTGGCTTCCTGTTTCAAGTCGGTTGACTTTTTCGGCAATACCTCTCCCTCTCCTCTTCTAACACCCCATCCCCCAAGAAGAATACAGCGGTGGGCCCTACAACAGTCCAAGACTGGGTTTACTTGACGTTCAACTCCCGCTCTCGACTGAACCTCCTTACCCCCCCCCCCCCCCCCCCCCCCCCCCCCCCCCCCCCCCCCCC